TCAAATGTTTGGCTCTCTCCACTTGGTTAATATGTTTTTACCAATACTTTAGTATCCTTCCCGGAAATGAAGGAACCTTCTCCTGAATAATCCAATCAAACTTCCTAAAGCGAAGGTTCATTACGTAGCAGTACATGTAAGCTGTGATGCTAAACGACCTAATCACATCACACCCAAGAAAAGTTTGTTTAGGAAAACAAGTGTAGATGGATAAAAATAGACACAGTTATACTTTGTCGATGCTGCTTTATATACTTTCTAACAGATACAGACATTCTATCTCGAAATCTAGCAACCATAATGACCATTTCATAAAGCAAAGGAATTTGTAAGAATCTTAACTATTGTCTTCAAAAAATGTGAATTATTTTAGGAGGTTGACAGAGGTGTGGATTATCAAAGTAAGGTGACAGAGCTGGCAAATTATCTTAGTAGGCTGAGAGAGATGTGGATTATCATAGAAGTCTGGGAGAGGTGTGGATTATCTTAGTAGACAGAGATGTGGATTATCATAGAAGTCTGAGAGAGGTGTGGATTATCTTATTAGACAGAGATGTGGATTATCATAGAAGTCTGAGAGAGGTGTGGATTATCTTATTAGACAGAGATGTGGATTATCATAGAAGTCTGAGAGAGGTGTGTGGATTATCTTATTAGACAGAGATGTGGATTATCATAGAAGTCTGAGAGAGGTGTGGATTATCTTATTAGACAGAGATGTGGATTATCATAGAAGTCTGGGAGAGGTGTGGATTATCTTATTAGACAGAGATGTGGATTATCATAGAAGTCTGGGAGAGGTGTGGATTATCTTAGTAGACAGAGATGTGGATTATCATAGAAGTCTGAGAGAGGTGTGGATTATCTTATTAGACAGAGATGTGGATTATCATAGAAGTCTGAGAGAGGTGTGGATTATCTTATTAGACAGAGATGTGGATTATCATAGAAGTCTGAGAGAGGTGTGGATTATCTTATTAGACAGAGATGTGGATTATCATAGAAGTCTGAGAGAGGTGTGGATTATCTTATTAGACAGAGATGTGGATTATCATAGAAGTCTGAGAGAGGTGTGGATTATCTTATTAGACAGAGATGTGGATTATCATAGAAGTCTGAGAGAGGTGTGGATTATCTTATTAGACAGAGATGTGGATTATCATAGAAGTCTGAGAGAGGTGTGGATGATCTTAGTAGACAGAGATGTGGATTATCATAGAAGTCTGAGAGAGGTGTGGATTATCTTATTAGACAGAGATGTGGATTATCATAGAAGTCTGGGAGAGGTGTGGATTATCTTATTAGACAGAGATGTGGATTATCATAGAAGTCTGGGAGAGGTGTGGATGATCTTAGTAGACAGAGATGTGGATTATCATAGAAGTCTGGGAGAGGTGTGGATTATCTTGGTAGACAGAGATGTGGATTATCATAGAAGTCTGGGAGAGGTGTGGATTATCTTAGTAGGCTGAGAGAGGTATGGATTATCATAGAAGTCTGGGAGAGGTGTGGATTATCTTGGTAGACAGAGATGTGGATTATCATAGAAGTCTGGGAGAGGTGTGGATTATCTTAGTAGGCTGAGAGAGGTGTGGATTATCTTAGTAGGCTGAGAGAGGTGTGGATTATCTTGGTAGACAGAGATGTGGATTATCATAGAAGTCTGGGAGAGGTGTGGATTATCTTAGTAGGCTGAGAGAGGTGTGGATTAACTTAGTAAGTTTAGAGAAGTGTGGATTATCTTATTGAATTCAGAGAGGTATCAAATTATCTTTATTGGTTGTGAAAGGAGTGATTTATTTTATTGAATTGAAAGGGGTTCAGACTATCTTATTGTATAAAGAATGATCTAACATTCTTGAGAGAGGTGTGGTTAGGAGAGGAGTGAATTTTCTGAATTTGTTAAGAATTATTGAGAAAAGAGTGAATTGTCTTATTGAGTTCAGTGAGGTGTGAATTATCTTGCTGTGTAAAGAATTATCTTAATTGGTTAAGAAGTGATTTATCTTACTGACTTGAGAAAAGTGTTGATTATCTTACTGTGTTAAAAATGAACCTAGTTGGTTGAGGAATGAGAGGTTTTCTTACTGGGTTAACAGTAGTGTGTATCATCTTACCTCTTTCAGAAAGTAGTTATTTACATCTTACTTTGTGAAATAGTTGTTAGTTATTTTACCAGGTTTAAAGGAAATGTGAATTGATGAAGGGCATCAGTCTGACGCATCAAAGACAACCAAAACTTTTTAAATCCCAATGCACCAATAAAACACATGAGCTTAATTAGCATGTGGACACGTCCTGCATAATTGCTTTGCACACAATGAGTAGCAGAGATCAGTCTTCCAGAGGTGTTAGTACATGCAGAGATGGACGATGTCATGATTAAGCTCAATTTTTCATTATCTACATACAAGTACACTTTATTGTGTCCCTAAAATCTATGCTAACTACCAATATTACGGTGCATTTAAATACACAAGACTACCAGTTCTATAGATTATGAATGTGACTACCAGTTGTACAGATTATGAGTGTGACTACCAGTTCTATATATTATGAGTGTGACCACCAGTTCTATAGATTATGAGTGTGACCACCAGTTCTATAGATTATGTGACCACCAGTTCTATACATTATGAGTGTGACTACCAGTTCTATAGATTATGAGTGTGACTACCAGTTCTATAGATTATGAGTGTGACCACCAGTTCTATAGATTATGTTACCACCAGTTCTATAGATTATGAGCGTGACTACCAGTTCTATAGATTATGAGTGTGACCACCAGTTCTATAGATTATGTTACCACCAGTTCTATAGATTATGAGTGTGACTACCAGTTCTATAGATTATGAGTGTGGCTACCAGTTCTATAGATTATGAGTGTGACTACCAGTTTTATAGATTATGAGTGTGACCACCAATTCTACAGATTATGAGTGTGACCACCAGTTCTATAGATTATGAGTGTGACTACCAGTTCTATAGATTATAAGTGTGACTACCAGTTCTATAGATTATGAGTGTGACTACCAGTTCTATAGATTATGAGTGTGACTACCAGTTCTATAGATTATAAGTGTGACTACCAGTTCTATAGATTATGAGTGTGACTACCAGTTCTATAGATTATGAGTGTGATCACCAGTTCTATAGATTATGAGTGTGACTACCAGTTCTATAGATTATGAGTGTGACTACCAGTTCTATAGATTATGAGTGTGACTACCAGTTCTATAGATTAGGAGTGTGACTACCAGTTCTATAGATTATGAGTGTGACCACCAGTTCTACAGATTATGAGTGTGACTACCAGTTCTATAGATTATGAGTGTGACTACCAGTTCTATAGATTATGAGTGTGACCACCAGTTCTATAGATTATGAGTGTGACTACATTTATGAGCGTGACTACCAGTTGTACAGATTATGAGTGTGACTACCAGTTGTACAGATTATGAGTGTGACTACCAGTTCTATAGATTATGTGACCACCAGTTCTATAGATTATGAGTGTGACCACCAGTTCTATATATTATGAGTGTGACTACCAGTTCTATAGATTATGAGTGTGACCACCAGTTCTATAGTATATGAGTGTGACCACCAGTTCTATAGATTATGAGTGTGACTACCAGTTCTATAGATTATGAGTGTGACTACCAGTTCTATAGATTATGAGTGTGACCACCAGTTCTATAGTATATGAGTGTGGCTACCAGTTCTATAGATTATGAGTGTGACCACCAGTTCTATAGTATATGAGTGTGGCTACCAGTTCTATAGATTATGAGTGTGACTACCAGTTCTATAGATTATCAGTGTGACCACCAGTTCTATAGTATATGAGTGTGACCACCAGTTGTACAGATTATGAGTGTGGCTACCAGTTCTATAGATTATGAGTGTGACCACCAGTTCTATAGTATATGAGTGTGGCTACCAGTTCTATAGATTATGAGTGTGACTACCAGTTCTATAGATTATGAGTGTGACCACCAGTTCTATAGTATATGAGTGTGACCACCAGTTGTACAGATTATGAGTGTGGCTACCAGTTCTATAGATTATGAGTGTGACCACCAGTTCTATAGTATATGAGTGTGACCACCAGTTCTATAGTATATGAGTGTGACCACCAGTTGTACAGATTATGAGTGTGACCACCAGTTCTATAGATTATGAGTGTGACCACCAGTTCTATAGTATATGAGTGTGACCACCAGTTCTATAGTATATGAGTGTGACAACCAGTTGTACAGATTATGAGTGTGACCACCAGTTGTACAGATTATGAGTGTGGCTACCAGTTCTATAGATTATGAGTGTGACCACCAGTTCTATAGTATATGAGTGTGACCACCAGTTCTATAGTATATGAGTGTGACTACCAGTTGTACAGATTATGAGTGTGGCTACCAGTTCTATAGATTATGAGTGTGACCACCAGTTCTATAGATTATGAGTGTGACTACCAGTTCTATAGATTATGAGTGTGACTACCAGTTGTACAGATTATGAGTGTGGCTACCAGTTCTATAGATTATGAGTGTGACTACCAGTTGTACAGATTATGAGTGTGGCTACCAGTTCTATAGATTATGAGTGTGACCACCAGTTTTATAGATTATGAGTGTGACTACCAGTTCTATAGATTATGAGTGTGACTACCAGTTCTATAGATTATGAGTGTGACCACCAGTTCTATAGATTATGATTGTGACCACCAGTTCTATAGATTATGAGTGTGACTACCAGTTCTATAGATTATGAGTGTGACTACCAGTTCTATAGATTATGAATGTGACCACCAATTCTATAGATTATGAGTGTGACTACCAGTTCTATAGATTATGAGTGTGACTACCAGTTCTATAGATTATGAATGTGACTACCAGTTCTATAGATTTCAGTAAACTGATCCTGAAAGATTTTATATGACACCTAAAAGATGTTCTCTATCAAAACTATTACAATCTATCTACAAATCAACACATCTATGAAGGTATCATCTTTAATATCAAAGTAATGAGAAGTTGACACTGATTTTTTTATTTCGGTTAATATAATCAGATTTGTAAAAAAGTACTTGTTACACATACAAGATATTCAGTACTACTGAATCAAATGAATTAACACATGAGTCAATGAAGTATGTTTTACTGAATGGCTGTAAGCTTAGGTAAAAAGAAAAGTTGGTGTTTACTGTGACTTGGGAAGCACATAAAAATTCATTTAGACACATTCATCAATAACTATCTTTTTTCGATCACGATAAAATGACACAGGCTATTGAGCATCCCCCTTTTTCAATTTCTGTTACTGAATTCAGTGACATATAATACAGATATGTCTATGCTATAGTTATACCAAATGCACAATCCATGTAACATAAAAATATTTATATAAAATCTTTTATTTGGCAGAAATTTCAGTCCATACTATCGTTGTTGTTAGAAAATTGACAAGTATTAGATTTATATATACATAGTAGCCACCAGCTATATATTGTAGCCACCAGCTAGTTATCAAAAACAGGTATGGGGCCACGATTAGCATACATCATGACATTTACCTGTAAGTATATGGGTGGTCCTAAGGGAGATATGAGCTGCCATTGTCTAAATCAGACATATAGGCAACTGTTTACAGCAATTCTACACACAATTAAACATTGTATTTACAGTGTATACTTAAGTAAAATTGTTGTTAATTAACTCATGAACTTACACCTATGTTATAAGTTCCTTCTTCACTAGTTTAATTTCAACCTGTTTGACTGTCATAAAAGATGATTACGACATCAGTTTTAAAATGTCAAATCAATGTTAGTTAGAACTGTCTTTGGTAAGCAGATGTAGACACTATAGGTCTTTGTAGTAAGCAAGAAAATTTCATGAACTTTGAAAAAGATACATAGGCATATTATATTATCATGGTGAGCAAACTTCCGAGAACTGACATTTAATTTCTTCATGGAGCAATGTTGATCCAATATTTAATTACTAATTATACCTATAAAGATATCTGATAAGTTTCTTAGATTTACAAAATATCTATGTTACATGTGTATCATCATAAGTCTGTGCTTAATGTCAAATAAAAGATATCCTATCTTAAGAAAATAGATAATTCCTGACCACAGATATAATTTCATGAATTATCTACAATGTATGTTTTTTTTTTATTTATCTAAGGAGCAATGCTGTTTCATATTTTATTTCAGTTATATAACATATCTCATATAGACTACTATACGAGCTTTAAATAAGAGTCTTTAAATAAGATGCCTTATATATGGCCAAGACTTGGTCAAACTGTCAAATTTCTCAACCACTGTCGCAAGCTGTTCCAACGAGTCTTTTGATAAATCATGATGATCTTCAACTCCTTGCGAGTGGACTTGTTCTACATGACCTCTGAAGAACCAGTACCGTGGGATGAGGAGCTTTTTTTCTCTTAAAAGCGTTTCTCGACATCGTTATATAGTGTGTTCCGTTCCACCATCGAGTGCACATTCGGAATTAAAGAGTCTTATATCTTATACACTTATTGACAATATCTTCTTAATATGCAATAAATCTCACTTAATGCTATTAATTTGGAGAACCACACGATCGACGTTGCTCTTGGAATGTTAGGATGTCTTGTCATCAATATAAATAAATGTACTACTTAATCAATACTGCTCCTTGAATAAGTAACAGCTACCATAATTGTAATATGTGAAAGAAGATGAAAATGATACTGGCTTCAGTGCTGTACCCTCCCTTTTATTTTTTTGCATCGCCCGGCGAACTAGCGAAGGTAGGATGTCTCGACAAATTTCATTGGCCCAGAATTCGGTCGGAAACGCCCCCTTTCGCATGTCAAGGTCGCAGAGCACAAGTGCACAGGTCAGCATGAAGAATTTCATCACCAATCTGTCGGAATAATAGATTTTTTAGATGGAAATATATAATTTTCATCTTAAATGATTAATGTACTTACTTCAAGAGATTCTGCTTTACATTTAAGGTAAGTAAAATCCGTATTTTGTTGTGAACTGACACGTATTTTTTTCGATTGAATCGGGTTCACAGAGGCAAACCGGTAGCTGTAAAATCAGCTGATCGTATTCCGAATGCTGTGGAAAATACAAGTTTACATTTTCACTGTTATATACTTCACGAATTGAATTTAACATAACCATTTGACATTTACGCAATTTCAGCTGTCTTCTGGTTTCCGCAAAGTGGTTGATATGGCCGAAGATCCTCCTCGCATGAAAATCCGAGATGAGGATTCTTTGCGATTTGTGCACTGTCTGTCAAACAGAGACCCCGGAGTAAGGATCAGGGCGTTCGATTCCATACTTCGGGTGTTCGATGCCTTGATCGGAGGTTATGGTAGCCCTCCGGACATGAAAGGGGTGTCCAACATCCACGGTGCAGTTGATACGAAAACTATGATTGATGAATACCTGGTCGACATACTCCGGTTATCCGTCCAGTGTCCGTTCGAGGATGTGTTGGAAAGATGCAAAGATTTGCTAAGGGACATGCAGGTAAGATAAAATGCATCTAAATGTACTGCACGATCGTTGTTTATGTTTATTGGCTGGGAAGGTTTGGAGGGGGGGGGGGAGGTTGTTAAAATGGTTTCACATTAACGCATTGTATTTACATACATAATGTTATGTGCCATTTATCATCATTAACATTTTGTTTTAAAACAAAACACTTTCAATTAATTCACACAAAATGATGTATAGATGTCAGACAAGAGTTTGTGTACTTAACCATGGATGTAAAACCTATTCAACATGAAAGATGACATCGATGGAATCATACTGTTTTTTTACTTCACATTATCTACATGGGGCAGTTTGTGTTTCTCAGGAGTCTGAGAAGTGTATCACTCTGTGCTGACTTGGTTGTGTCTATTAATTTATCCAAATTTACTCTGTATGACATGCTACAGACCTTCCTATGTTGTTCAGTGAGGTAGCCACCAGCTATTACAAGGATAGCTTACCTCTAGATGTCTTTCATCTGTTTGTTAGCTTGTTGAATTTCTAAATGACAATTAAAATTGGAACGAACAAAAGTATAAGAAGAGCAGTTATAATTTGCAGCCAAAATGCTAGATTTTGAAAGTTGTCATACAAATTTAAACCCCAAAACCTTCAAAATTTGTTTTAGTGTATTGTGTATTTGCTATATTGTGAACAACTTGTGTCCAAGGATATCCTTGTAATTAATCAGTCTGATCTGTCAATGTTTACCAGTCTGAGTATCTTCAAGGCTGACCGAGATAAGTCTCATGGTTGAACATGGATAACTTCCCCAATCAAGTCATGTGATTTCCTTAAATAGAACCAGATGAAAACAATATCATTCAACATTCATCTTAATATAGCTCTATGTTGCTGACTTCATTCATTACTGAATGTTGTAGATATGAAATAAATAAATTATCCTTGTTTATCTGCCTCTCCAGACAGACAGGATGGTACCAGTGTACCTATCTTACCTCTTTTTCTGTCATTTATTTATGTTGGTCAAGGGGTCAAGTTTGGAGCTGGAATTTCATTAATTTACTCCTTTTTCACAGATAGATGAAGGTACATAAATATTAATTTAGAAGTTTTATAGTATCATGTATGAATTAGTCTTTATAGTAATTAGAAAGGGACTGCTTTAGCGTTTATTGTGTTTTAATGTAATTATTTCAGAAACAATTAACATATGTCCTCTTTAAACATAAAAATAAAGTAATTACACATATATTGCAAAAATACAGCTCTGGTCTAACTGATTTCATTATATTACTGCATTCATTAACCAATGAATGGTGCTTTTACATCATAAATGTGACCAAATCTTAACGTAAGTATGGTCAGAGTTAAAAAGTTATATATGTTTTGAATGGGTTTTTTTTTTTATATAAGCCAAGTGGATACCTGTGATAGATGATGTTAACTGAGTTAAAATGTAAACAACAAAACTGGTATCATAAATCAACTTGTCATCATCACAGGATGTAGACAATGTTGTTTTATCTTAACACATGGTGCATGTGATACAGCTTTGTTATGCCTCCATATCTAGCTGACAATTCCTAGACAGAATAGGTCAAAAACTGCAGTTACAACAAGTACACTGTAACACTGCAGGTACATGATTTCTCAGTGCATGTCAGCAAAACAAGGGTCAAAATAAAAAAAAGAAAAGCAGATTTGTTTGTTTTAATTAGCTTGTATGTACAGGAGATTAACACTGAATTAATTATGTATTAGCTGCCTTATTTGTGATTGTATTGATGATTAATTGTATCAGGAAAAAACTGTGGCCCTCTTTTTTACTGTAAAGAAAGAAGAATATGTTAACATTTCATTGAATCATCAATTTTAAGTTAGATGCATGTTACATGAATTGGACTGGAATCTGTAGTCTGATTTGGGAAATCTGGCATGCTGTCATTGTTCTTGGACTGGTGGTTATGTTTTTTTGCCACTTTTTTATTGGAATCTCTTTGAAGTAGCTGGTGGCAATCTCACTGAACAATGTGAGGAAGGCCAGTCACATGCTCTCCACATCTATTGGAATCATGTGTTTTGTCCATGAACACAACCACAACACTAAAGGACAGTATGTGATCCTGGCCTCTAAGAAACATATACCACCTCATGTAGGGAGTGAACCACACACCTAAGATCTTCACCCAAGGTCATCTTACCCTGATGTTTTACTGTCGGAGCTATAAAGGTCCAACTTCTTCGGGGGACTGGAATCATTAATGACCTTATTAGGCCAATCATAAATTATGCTTTGACTGCAGTATTGTATTATTTATACATACAGCAAAATCCACAGAATAATGTTATAACAGGGTACAGCAAAAACCACAGAATAATGTTATAACAGGGTACAGCAAAAACCACAGAATAATGTTATAACAGGGTACAGCAAAATCCACAGAATAATGTTATAACAGGGTACAGCAAAATCCACAGAATAATGTTATAACAGGGTACAGCAAAATCCACAGAATAATGTTATAACAGGGTACAGCAAAATCCACAGAATAATGTTATAACAGGGTACAGCAAAATCCACAGAATAATGTTATAACAGGGTACAGCAAAATCCACAGAATAATGTTATAACAGGGTACAGCAAAATCCACAGAATAATGTTATAACAGGGTACAGCAAAAACCACAGAATAATGTTATAACAGCAAAATCCACAGAATAATGTTATAACAGCAAAATCCACAGAATAATGTTATAACAGGGTACAGCAAAATCCACAGAATAATGTTATAACAGGGTACAGCAAAATCCACAGAATAATGTTATAACAGGATACAGCAAAAACCACAGAATAATGTTATAACAGGGTACAGCAAAAACCACAGAATAATGTTATAACAGGGTACAGCAAAAACCACAGAATAATGTTATAACAGGGTACAGCAAAAACCACAGAATAAATGTTATAACAGGGTACAGCAAAATCCACAGAATAATGTTATAACAGGGTACAGCAAAAACCACAGAATAATGTTATAACAGGGTACAGCAAAAACCACAGAATAATGTTATAACAGGGAATAATGTTACAGCAAAAACCACAGAATAATGTTATAACAGGGTACAGCAAAAAACAGAATAATGTTATAACAGGGTACAGCAAAAACCACAGAATAATGTTATAACAGGGTACAGCAAAAACCACAGAATAATGTTATAACAGGGTACAGCAAAAACCACAGAATAATGTTATAACAGGGTACAGCAAAAACCACAGAATAATGTTATAACAGGGTAATTATTCTGTCCAAAAAACATAAGTCTTAGTAGTGGCATCACCGTCACTAAACGACATGAACCTCTATAGTAACGACACAGTCACGAAAAACAGCATAAACCTCTGTAGTAACGACACAGACACAAAAAGACATAAACCTCTTTAGTAACGACACAGTCACAAAACAACATGAACCTCTGTAGTAACGTCACAGTCACGAAACAACATGAACCTCTGTAGTGACATCACAATAACGAAACGACATGAACCTCTGTAGTAACGTCACAGTCACGAAACAACATGAACCTCTGTAGTAACGTCACAGTCATGAAACGACATGAACCTCTGTAGTAACGTCACAGTCACGAAACGACATGAACCTCTGTAGTAACGTCACAGTCACGAAACGACATGAACCTTTGTAGTAACAGCACAGTCATGAAATGACATGAACCTTTGTAGTAACAGCACAGTCACGAAACGACATGAACCTCTGTAGTAACGTCACAGTCACGAAACGACATGAACCTCTGTAGTAACGTCACAGTCACGAAACGACATGAACCTTTGTAGTAACAGCACAGTCACATGAACCTCAGTGTCACAGTCACGAAACGAAAGTAACGTCACAGTCATGAAACGACATGAACCTTTGTAGTGACAGCACAGTCATGAAATGACATGAACCTTTGTAGTAACAGCACAGTCATGAAACAACATGAACCTCAGTAGTGATGTCACAATAACGAAACAACATGAACCTCAGTAGTGATGTCACAGTCCATTTGTGTGGTAATCACTGATTATCCATTTGTGTGATATTCAATGATTATCCAGTGATGAGATAATCCCCATTGTTTTGAGTTGTGATAGTCAATGATAGTGCAGTGGCTGATTTTTCTAAAGGTTTAGATCAGCTCCACCCCAAAAGATGAATGACCCAATGGGTCAGCGACATATAGATATGTTAACATCAGGTGTTTTGGGAGACAGGTGTGTGATACAAATATCTGATATCTTGTCACTGACCTGTGTATAGTTAAAGGAATTTAGGTTTATATAGAAAGCAATAGCTGTGGGTTTTATACTGTGTGAGGAACAGTATAAAACTTTAAATAAGATCTCTCAATTACTGCTGTATTTTCATCTTTACCATTGGTATAATTTTAATCATATCAATCATCAAAAATCTGTTCTATATGATTTTGGAATAAAGTACTGATTGAGTGATGCATTGATAGAATTGAAAATTAAGAAGAAAATAAAGGATTAATGATATCAGCAGTAAATTTGTTACTTTTATTGTTTTGATCATTTATGATATCAAACCAATCAAATACATAACAAATACAATTTATCATTTTCTGTCGATCATCCTCCTAAAGTAATTTAAGCTTTGTGGATTTATGACTTAAAATGAAAAAAAAAGAAACTGGACGAAAAGACCTTCTAAACTGTGAAATGGACAGTCCTTTGTAATTCTAAACAGTAGAGTATACATTAATATTTCTCGCACGTTCCTTAAGGTGTTTCTATAGCAATGGATTTCTGTTCAATAAAGATTGATAATCTATTACAAGTCTTCTGGAGATTTCAATGACTAGCAGTTGTTGCATTTAGCAGCTGTAGAACCTCAGAACCATTTACCAGCTGTAGGACCTCAGAACCATTTACCAGCTGTAGAACCTCAGAACCATTTACCAGCAGTAGAACCTCAGATCTATTTACCAGCAGTAGAACCTCAGAACCATTTACCAGTTATAGGACCTC